GCATTCTGGGAGTTCGTGTTTTTCTATCGCTGCCCAACAGCATTCTGGGAGTTCGTGTTTTTCTATCGCTGCCCAACTGCATTCTGGGTTTTAGCGTTTGTAGACAACTGTTATCACAGACTTATGAATTGATTTATTCACATTTGGTGGGTTTGGGGAAGGTCCAGGGACCGCGAGGCATCTCGCGAAGTAGGCGAGTCACCTCAGCAGGCAGACCTGTGCCCCGTCAAAAATTGCTCTCGTAATTTGAACGAGGACACGGGCGTCACCCCGCGTCGTTATTTTCCTTACTCATCAGTTTAAGGCATAACGAATCCATGCTCGATGCCTGGCATAGAAACAGCATCATGGAGGATTGTATCAGGGTGCAGAATTTGAGCTGTTCGCGAGCATTAATGAGGATTTTCAACAATAAATCACGATCTTCAAAATAGCAACATACAAAACAAAGTGTTTAAAAAGGCGTAAATCTCAGGGTTTATGAAAATAATGACATGTTTCTGAAAGAAATGACGCAATGGCTCATGGGTATCAGTTAAACTATAAGTGGTTCGCGTTTTGTCAAGAGAAACCGATCACAGATTGTTCAGTATTCTATGCGGTTGTCTTTGCGCCCTTAAATTGTCTTAATTTTCTTAAAGAGACATATTTTGTCTTTTATAAATTTACAAGTTGCGTTAAAGCTTAGAAACAATTACATTAAAGCACAAAACACGTAAAATTTACTACAGACGCGTTGTCTGATTTTTGGTCTAAAGCAGTTTCCGTAGTTTAGTTTATCGCTTGGCAAACGCGCAGGCGCAGTTGGATAAGTTTGTTTGTGAGAAAATGGCAGACGTCTCTTTGGATGAAGTGATTCGACGGCGCGGAATTAACCTTAACACTACAACTAAACGGTACATTAACGATACTAAAGTCGTGAAAATATGCTTCTAACTAACTTAGCTGCTTTTATTATGCATTCTGAACACATTACGATCAATTAAAGCTGTTAATAGATAGTAGAATTCCGCAGGCTAATGTCAGCAGCTAGTTGAAACAGATGAAACTCCAAAAGCTAGGCTAAGTGGTGGCTAGTATTAGCTGCAGGCCTTAAGGAATGAAACCTTTAAAAATACGAATATAAAATGTAATTGACCAACCCCGTTATGTTAAAGTGGCTCATTTAAGAAACTTCCATTTCTAAATAGTTAGCTAGGTTTGCTCAGCTATTTAGTTGTTGTTTCACGTTACGGTTAGGTAAAGCTCATTTACGTAAGCAAAAAACGGTTTCAGCTCGTACCTCAAGAGAAATGCTGCTAAAGCTGTACTTTAAAACAGCAACTATCAAAGTTGTTTTTGTCGATACATATCGCAATCACTGCATTAAAAAACATTTAACTTTAGTCGCAAAACGTGCTTTTTAATGCCTTTTTATAAATACCTGTACGTATTTAAGTGTTATATGTTGAAACATGATGAATTAGGAAAGGATTAAATAACAGTGTTGCAATTATAGAAATTTCCAGAATGTTAGAAAATTGTGTGCATGTTTTTAGCATGCTATGTTATTTATTAAAGGTTTAGATATTTCTTATTTCCCTTAGACCCATGTTTGGACGAGGTGGAGGAGCAGATGGCAAAAACTTTGATGCCAGGCAGAAAATTGGTGCCACTGATGTAAGACAACGTCTTGGTGCAGGATCAGGTAAGGTCTTCGCTCCACACCTAAAAGAGCCTAATGCGGTGAGCATATTGTACTTGAACTCATTCCTACATCCCCTCAGGTTTCCAAGTAAAAGATGCCAGGGAAAAACTGGTTCAGAGAGATGCTCGGTTTAAAATCCGTGGCAGGGGAGGAGCTGGAACGGTACACGATGCTCGACAGATGATCAACTCAAGGAAACAGGGACAGTTCAGTGCCCCTGCGCAAACCACACTAAAGTTGGCGATATCGCAACAGCTGCAGAGCAAGACACTTATGCCTCAGATCCAGATACACACCAACAACAATCTGGTCAGTCCAAACGCTTGGCAGTTTACACCCAATGCACAAGGACTGAGTACAAGAGTCAGCGCATCACCACAGCTGAGCAATAATGCGAGAGTCATGGATGCTCGGGATAGGCTGAGCCTCAAGAGGAGCATTGGAGGAACACAAACGCAAGCGACTGCTGCTCCACCTTTAAAAATAACAAAGACCATACAGGTAAGGGAGCTGGGAAAGCTGTTTTTGTATCTTAGATCGTATATGCAACATGCACATGTGTAAACTCAAAATGTCAGCACACTTTTTAAGAAATGCCGTTTTGTTCACAGCAACATCCAGTGGGTACATTAGGAGGAATGCGTGCAGCTACGCAGGTACATCTGCTTTCTTTTTTGGATTTAACTTTAAAATAAATGTCTGTTTATTAGAAGGGTAAATATGCTACTTAATAGATTATTGTATTTCTCTCAGCCTGCCCTACATGAGTTTGACGCCATCCCCAGCAAACAAATAAAGTTCACAGCTGCCAACACAATGCTACAATCTCGGGTAAGAAGGGCATTTGACTGGCCATCAAAAGTCTGTAATTTAGATATTTTTAAGGCTTTGTGTATTTTGTATGTGTTCCACATTAAATGTTTATATTTACTTAATACAGTCTGGCACAACGGGTGCTACATTCTCCATGACAGCCCCGATCACCAAGGTGGTTAAAAATGATGCATATACAGCGATGCGTCCCCCTGTCCCTGTGGCTCCCACCCGACCCAACGCCAACTTAGCTGTGCTCCGCTCTTCTGCTGCAGCTGCTGCAGCAGCAGCAGCAGCAGCAGCTTTACAGCCAGTCTCCAGGACTCTTCAGCAAAGCACAGCAGAAACCAGCGCTGCAGCAGCTCCTACTCCACCTCAGGTAATCTTGAGCTTCCAGCTGTAAATCACCAAATATTATTTTCTTACCTCGATTTAGGTCTGCCATCAGATTTTTTTTTAATGCAGGCTATTATTCAAAACCACAAATTTTCCTTAAACTCACAATGAACAGCTTAATTTTCTGATCTGTGTGTGTGTGTGTGTGTGTGTGTACACACGTACACATTCATCCATCATCTTCAATTTGTTCTGGAGTGGGGTCACAGGGACAGCAGCGTGAGCAGGGAGGCCCAAACATCTCCCCATCCACCTCTTGCAGCTCTTCTGGGAGGACCACAAGGTGTTCCCAGGCCAGCCAAGACATAGTCTCTCAAGCGTGTCCTGTACCCAGGAAGCATCCTTACCAGATGCCCGAACCACCTCGACTGGCTCAGTGGAGGAACAGCGGCTCTACTCGAGTCTCTCCCAAATAACTTCTCACCCTATCTCCAAGGGAGAGTCCAGCTACCCTGCAACTCGTTTCAACCACCTGTATCCAAGATCTTATTCTTGTGGTCACTACCCAGAATTTGTGGCCATAGATGAGGGAAGGAAAATAGACCGACCAGTAAACGGAGAGCTTTGACTTACAGCTCAGCTCTCTCTTCATCACAACGGACCAGCACAGAGTCCACAGACGCTGCATCAATCTGTCTGTCAATCTCACGCTTCATTCTTCCCTCACTCATGAACAAAACCCAGAGATACTTGAACTCCTTCACTTGAGGCAGAACCTCGACCTGAAGAGAACAATCCACCCTTTTCTGACTGAGGACCATGGCCTCAGATTTGGAAGTGCTAATTCTCATCCTAATCAGTTAATCTCTTAAGTTATGAATAGAATCAGTGACAATGGGGCAGCCCTGGTGGAGTCCAACTCATTGCCTGCAATGTGAATCAAACTCTTGCACCACTTGTATAGGGACCAAACCAGAATCCCCCACAGTGTGCCTCTAGGAACACAATCGAATGCCTTCGCCAAGTTCACAAAACGCATAGATTGGATGGGCATACTCCCATGACCCATTGAGGACCTTAGCTTCTCCCAGTACCCATGAATAGACCTTACCGGGGAGGCTAAGGAGAGTGATGCCTCTATAATTGGAGCACACCCTCCGGTCCCCCTTTTTGAAGAGGGGGACCACCACCCCAGTCTGCCAATCCAGTGACACTGCCCCCATGTCCATGTTATGTTGCAAAGGTGTGCCAACCAAGACAGCCCTGCAACATCCAGAACCTTGAGAAACTTCTGGCAGATCTCATCCACTACTGAAGCCCTGCCACTGTGGAGATTTTTAACTACCTCAGCGACAGCCCCAGTTATGGACAGACCAACTGTAAAGTCCTCCCTCTCAGCTTCCTCCATGGAAGATATGCCAGTGGGATTAAGAAGTTTTGAGAAGTAGTCCTTCCATCTTCTGAAGACGTCAGTGGTTGAGGTCATCAGCAGCACTCCACCCTCACTAAACAGCGTTGTTAAAGTGCTCCTTTTCCAGCCTCATCCACCTGATGGTTTGACAGAATCTCCTCTGAACTGATCATGAGTACGAGTTAAAGATCTTTCTGATGGTTTCTTCTCCCAGGCTTTCCCAAACCCTCACTGTAGAGCTGGACAATAATTCGATATCGATATATCTCGCAATATACTTTTATTCAATAACGATGATATGAATTTTAAGCACATTTTGAATATTTCAATAGGATTACAGCGTTTTCTGTTCGGGTTGAAGCGGCCACTTCAGTTTCAACCCGGACAGAAAAAGCTGCGACACAACTACGTAAGTGCGTGGTGACGTAGATGTTACGCAGAGCTCGAGTCCAGAAGGAGTTAGTGGTAGCAGGCTAAGCTAGGCTAATCTCCAATGCGCGTTAAGTTTTCTCTTCAAAATGAGTTCCCATGATCGTCAGAATGTGACTGAACAAGCATTCACAGGCGAAGAGAAGCAGATGACATCACTGATAAGAGAGAAAAGACTAATTCGCTGATTTGGAAGTGGTTCATCTTTCTACGATCCGATGAACTGCAGTTTTCAGTCAGTTGCTGCAGAATGTGACGGAGAGTCGTTCTAACTAGCGGTGGGAACATCTAACTTGTTCCACTTGACAGAAGATGATGAGTCACAAGGTGAAGCACAATAAAAGTTTGAGCCAACGTGTCCATGAAACACCTCCAGCGCTGCATGTTTTTTTTGTTTTATATAATTTATTCATTCATTAAAAAAAAAAAAAATCAAATAAAAATAAAAACATTGAATGAAAATGTTGCAGAAAGAAGAAAAAAAAAAATCTTATCTGCCCCTAATTTAAAAAATACAAAATAACTACAAACTAACAACAACTTTGACTTGAACCATCTCCAAACTGAAAACACAAAAACTTCAGGGATCCTTCACCTGGTCCTAAACGTTCCCAACAACTTTAACTATCATCTTTTTAAACATACAAATTATTTTAGAAATGTTTATGGTGATATCAAGACGATTCCGTAATCCTGTTCCCTGAATTACAACACAGCTCCTTCAGACCAGTTCTAAATGGAGGTTTTACAAACATTTACATTCCCTTAAGTTATATTGACTCTCCTTTTTTATATTTTTTACAAATTTTAATTGAATATTTGGGGCTAATATTTTTATGAGCTTTATACATGACTTGTAAAATACTATATTCAACCAAATCATAACATTTTAATAATTTCAGTTGATGACATAACATATTTGTTGGGTGACCATAGCGCTTCATACTACTAATAATTCTTATAGCTCTTTTTGTACAACTAAAAATAGGATTTGTAATCGTTTTGCTTTTCCCCAAACTTCACTACAATAGATTAAATATGGAACAATCAATACATTATACAATATATACAAAGCTTTGTCATTCAAAAACTATTTTACTTTATACAGTAATGCAATTGATTTTTATTTTTACGTATTTTACCACGTCAGCTTCTCATCAGTAACGACACCCAAAAAGTTTATTTCATTAACAACAAATTTCAATGCTGTCAATTTTAAAGTTGTTGTTTAAAGTTAAAACTATTAATATTGACAAAGTTGAGAATTTTACGTTTATTTGACAGTGATTTCAGTTTTTTTGAAGGCTAAATACAAATAAAAGGTGAACATTAATTTATTTGTATAGTTTGTAGTTTTTCTGAGGCTTCTATATTGTTTATATCGATATCGAATTATATCGTTATCGACCGAAATTAAGAAATATATCGTGATAAAAGTTTTGGCCATATCGTCCAGCCCTACCTCACTGCACGTCTGGGTTTGGCAGACAGACATATGGGTCTGGGTCTGACATATGGAACAACATACTGGTTAAAGAGCCTAAATATTTAGCATGTTTTAAGTTTACTCTTAATAAGAACTGCATCAAACTGTTGAGATTTCTTTATTTAACAGTTTTTGCTGACTTTGCCAGTCTAAAATACATGAGAGAGAAATACATGAGTATAACTGTTTAACATTTAATAATTGGAGACCAAATCTGCCAATGGTTTTTTTTGTTTGTTTGTTTTTTTTACCTAGCTTATGCTTTTACAAATGCTGAATTGTATTTATTATATGTATTTTATATGAAATATGATAAACACAGTACAGTATGAAATTTTAAATTGAATATTTTTTCTTTTTTGCTGTTAACAGATTTAGCAAATTCCATTGTGCCTAAAATGGGTGCATTAACACATGCAGGTAGTTGAGCTCTGTGCCCCCAACTGTCTCCACAGGGATCAGCCAGGAGCTCTGGATTTTCACTTTTAGCATTTGGCCTGAAACAACATAAAGGGGACACAGAACAAAGCTGGTGGGGGAATCAGATCTTGATGAAGAACAAAATAACACACCAGTCCTGCACGGCGTTACTTAATTGAGCATACTCCCAAAGTGTTTCCCCCACCATTATTCAAGGAGGGCACCCCGCCCTGTCAACAGAACCGAGCGCCCTGCCTACCAAATCCCCCATGCATCCACCACTTTGGGACAGGGAGTGGAGATTAGCAGCTCAGACTCCAGACCGCGAGCAATACAAACGTAGCTCTCCGCTTCTCCTCTTCTAACCCCCACCTCCACAACTGCCTGCACTAACGTAGCATTAAGCTATGCAAACCCCGCCCCCCGTGCATAATACAGTGCTCCGCTTCTCGTCGAAACCCCCGCATTGAAAACTCCTGCCACTGAGCTCTGCTTCTCTCTCCAATCTTCTAATCTACCCATGTTGAAAACATCACATTTAATGTCTCATAATCCATCAGTATGTAATCTTTGCACTATTTTATGAGTTCTATCTGTTGTGCGACCCGAATGTTTTGTAGTTAAGTTGCTGTTTGATTGAGATCATGAGCTGATCAGTTTCCTGTGGCTGCAGGGCGGCTCTAAACTCGAGCATTTCCTAAGAGTTTGGTGTCAAACTGAGTAGTTTTACATCCAAGGAGAACATTTGCACACTCTTGAACATAAACCATTTTGTTTTGTTTTTTCCAGCCGGCTTTTAGTCCGTTAGAGGGAACTAAAATAACCGTGAACAACCTTCATTCCCGAGTCACTGAGGAGGACATAGTGGTGAGAAAAACTGACTGTTTACCTTCAAACAGCTCCTTTATTTGTTATCCACTGATGTGCTGTAGGACTCAAGTCAGGGTGTGGTTGTTTGAACCGTTTGTCCACAGGAACTGTTCTGTGTGTGCGGAGCTTTAAAGCGAGCGAGGCTGGTGAAGGTGGGCGTAGCTGAGGTGGTGTTTGTCCGTAAAGAAGACGCAGTCAGCGCTTACAGGAAGTACAACAATCGCTGCTTAGACGGTGAGTGCCAATGTTAAAAGTTACACATTTCACATGACTCTTTAGGTTTTTAGCTTCTGTTCTTGTAGATCATTGTTGTTTTCAGAACCACTGCTGTGGTCCTTACTTTTTCCTCTCGTCTACCCACAGGCCAACCCATGAAGTGTAACATTCATATTCAGGGAAATGTCATCACTTCTGATCAGCCTATTCTCCTGTAAGTTATCCCATCTGTGCCTTCATTAGAAATCATCTCATTTGTTGTTTAGAGGGAGTCGATACATTTTCAGGTATTTTCTAAAGTCGTGAACGTTTCCCAATTCTTAGATTCATCTTTATGCACAGCTTAATGTTTCTGCATCAGCGCAGAGCAGGACAGAATCGAAAACGTTCAGCTTTCACAACATAATTATAAATCGTCATTATTAGTTATTTTCTGACAGCTAGCAACAGTTAGTATAAAAAGTTACTAATGGCTGCCATTACTAAAAAACAGATTTTTTTATGTTTAAACCCAGACAAGTCTGTAGCTTCAGCATCCTTCTAACATTATGGCAAAGCCTTACTGAGGTCAACAGATAGATTAAATGTGCAGAGAATTTTAAACACAGACATCTGAACACACTTTGGGTTTTCAACCAAAAGTGTGAATTGTTTTAAGACAAATACATGTGGTTTGTGAAAACTTTCTCACAACATCAGAATACTTGGGTAATACTTTTAATATTGAGATACAGGGTAGTTGCTTTCAACCTGATTTAATGTCGCAACCTAAAGTTAAACACCCTGACTCATAAGATGAGCTATGAGTTGTCAACACAGTCCTCTGAGTCTGAGAGAGGAGATCTAATTTTTTTAAGATTGAGCTCATCTAGAGAGCAGAAGATATTCAACAGCTTGACTTGCCAAGAGGTCTATCTCATAACTAGAGAAATATAGAGGGCTCTGCTTTATTTATTGAATTCAGAACGTTTTGGTGTAAAATGCCATTCTGCTGTTTTAAGAGAAAACTGCTGCTCAGTGAGAATCAGGAAGGAGCAGCTCACATGGACTACAAAATGTGATGCACATCAGAAAGTAGATGAAGTATTTATACTAAATAACGACCGAGAAGAATAATTTATACTCTGTGTAACTAATGTATATGTGTCACTCAGACAAAGGGACTGAAAGCGAAATGTTGAAGGTGGTCTGATCTTTAAAGTATTAAACAGAATTAACTAGAATTCTTAAATAATTTATTACTGTAAAAAGGGTTTACGTGTGGTAATGGAGAATACAGATCCACAGGTCGACCAACATTCAGCTGCAGTTTACTTGTTAGCTGATTTGTAGCATCTAAAACTTGTGTAAACCTTTTAATTCATCTTCATGTTTGTGTACGTAGAATCGGGTCTTGAAGCTTTGTGACAATCCTTTCCCCTCAGGAGACTTAGTGACACGCCAGGTGCAGGCAGCAGCACGAAGAAAGACGGCCTGCCCCCATCTTTGTCCCGCAGCGCTGGCCAGCGAGCCTCGTCTCAGCCCACCCCAGAAGTGGACCCCCAGACCATCCTCAAAGCTTTGTTCAAGTCCACCGCCCAGCCCAGCTCACAGAACACGGCCTTTCGCATCAAAATATAATTAAGATATACTCACTTGTTTTGTTTTAGCAGCTTTCTCAGTGTTCACGTCACTGGTTTTCCAGCTGATGGGCAGGAGGCCCTTATTCTCTCATGAAACTGTATTTTTACACATTTCATAAAGTGGGAATAGAAAGGTGTACGGATGAGTAACGTCTTTGTTTTTGGTTTTGTATGTTTGTAATGTTTATCTCTACAACGGACCAGAAGAAGTGTGATGTTTTAAATCAGTGTAGTGGAGGGTTCGTCAGTTTTGTTTTGACGTTGCAGTTATCTGCACCTGTCAAAAAGAAACAAAGTGACAGAATGATTGAAAACCAGTCCAGTCATTAACACGTTTAAAGCCTTACACCCACAACATTCAGTGACGTTATCAAACCTCTTCTATTAGATTGAACAGGAGAAATGTAGTATTTCTCAATTAATACTCTCCTCTGCGATTTCATCCAGGTGTTTTGTTTGCAGAAGTAACTGGTGTGTTATACAAGTGCAAAACAAAAACTACAGTACCATCTCTTTGGTTTTCCAGTTCTTGTAGGACCCAGTACTTTGTTACTGGTCTCGCTTGTTCAGTTTCTGGGCAGAATGTGCTGTATTCTTCACTCAGTTTTTGTTGAGCCACTGTAAACTGCTTTACGTTTCCTTGATTTGTCAAACTGAGTGTCTGTAAATTGATGCCATTAAATCTGTAGCTTTTTGGACGATGTGAGAGACGTGTTTTTGCTTCCCAGTCAATCCGTAGTGAGCCGGGGGCTGCAACAGAACCCCCAAGTATGCAGTTTCACCAATTAAAGTTTAATCTGTTTTTGAGCACTGCTAAGTTTTATTTCCCCACCAAACATATTTGTGAAGTAATAGAGTTGCAGTTAAAAACTAATAAATGCTTCAAGTTGAATATTTGAAATTGATCATGTACACCATGTATATCCAACTCAAAGCCCAGGGGCCAAATGTGGCCCTCGTTGACATCTGGCCCCCAAGATATGTGAAACACAAAATACTTCTATCTCGAATTTTTTCAGTAATCTTTGATTATGATGTTGAAAGCACAATGGAGAACGTCAAATGAGACCAAACTTGTTGAGGAACCTGTGACCAAGAAAAGATGTTGGGTGCCTGATTTGAGTTGATGTAGATTCTGAAATTGGCCCTTAGTTTGAAAAAGGTTTTAATTGTGTCCCCCTTTTGTAAGTTTGACGCCCCTGCTCTACACCAAGAACAAGTTGTAATAACTTGAGGCTGCCTTAGTCATCCAGCAGTTAGCTTTTAGCTCATTGGGAAACTACTGCCACTTTATGGTGTTTACAGTATCAGAATGAAAAGTTAATTTCTTTTTAATTCACTAAAACTTATTTTCCTTTAAGAGCTCCAAAACAATTCTATTTAGCTCAGTAAAAATAGACAATTTAGAAAAATCTGGAACTCTTTCATACGGCTCTCATCACTTGCTGTGTGGCGTAGCGAGGATCAGTTGTTTATTGTGGGTAAATGATCCTGAATCTTATAATCTTTTAATACTCTGGGTCCTTGTGTGTTGGTTTTATATTCATGTCATCACGATGCAAACTAACTGTGGCCTAAAAATTTAGAGTTGTTGATCACATTTATTTTAAATATCTAAAGAAGGTATTGGTGGAGGTCAGGTTTATGAAACAAAAACCTTTCTAGTTTTATCAAATATTTCCATCAAACCTCTTTATTCCACATGTCAATAACTGAAAGCCATTCAGAAAGATATAGCTGATTCTTGAGGGTGATGCAAATACAGAGAACAAATTTATTAATCTCACATTTTGGATCTAGTAAACAAAACTACATCAAACATACTTATGTTAAACTTTGTAATGCTCAAATTAAAGTCCTACAAGCTGAAAGGAAAAAAAAAAGTATGAAAGTTATTTCAAGATGAAAATCAGAAAAAAATATACAAAAAAAAAAAGAGCTAACTAAAGATATGAATGACAAACAGGCCTTACATCTTATAGACAAAAGATGTTTATAATAAAAACTTTTTGTATTGCCCTGCCCATATGAAAATAAAGCTAGCCAGAAGCTTTTTTTCTTGTTTAGTATTTCTGTATCTTTCCTATTCCACTCAGATTTATGTCTACTTATTGATGATATTTTATAAAATAATCACTGACACATTTACATAACTTTACTCATCTAATTATTATAAAGAGCTAACCGTTAACTAGTTTTAGTTATTAGCTAAATTAATTATAATTTAGTTTTACCGAATAATTACAAGCAATTCAGTAAAATTATTATAATCATTAAGCGTCTGAATATTGTTTTCATATTGCTAATAAAAATACCCAACGAGAAGAAGCTGCTGTAAATTTTTTATATTTTGTTTGCGGAAGAGCAGACAGAAACACTTCCGGTTCAGAGTGAGGTCAAAGCAAGATGGCGCTACCCAACAAGAAACATGCACGTATCCAGGCATCCGTCAGCCCTGAAGGATTTACTGGTATAATTTACATAAATTGACACTTTAATATGCAGAATAATCGTCGGAACTTTACTGGATTGTTTTTAACTGAACCAACCAGTCGTTGAGTTCAGAAACTGATGTTTTCTCCGCAGTTCTCTCTTTACAGTTCAGCTCCGACAGTCCTGCTCGGCACTCCGTGTTCGTGAAGGAGCACAAAGTGCGAGCCCAGAAGAGTTCGGGCAGACCACTGGACCGGACTTTATTTGTGCTCAACATCCCTCCGTACTGCTCCGAGGTGGGGGTCTTCAAAGTTCTCCCCGGCTCGGAGGGAACAGCTGGTTCCTCATCTGTCCGTCATGTTTGTTTGTGTTTCAGGCTGTCGTCAAGGATTTGTTCTCCCAGTTCGGCAGCGTCAGGTCCGTAGAGCTGAGAGATCATCCGGGTTCTTTTGAGGAGTCTGGACCCAAGCTGTCCAGGTTCTTCAAACCAGCTGAGAAACAGGTTCGGCTTCATTTGACTTTTTAACTCTTTCTTAGCTCGTGTAGAACATCATCTAGTGTGAGTCTTTTCCTCTGTTGGTTCCAGGGTTTCAAAGTGGGCTACGTGGTGTTTGAGAGTCCATCCAGTGTAGCAGCAGCTAAATCCCACCCTCATGATGAGCCTCTGGTGGTCTGCACAGAGCTGCGTCCCGTCAAAACCGGAGTTCAGAGTGAGTGGCTCAGATAACCTGCCCTCAGTGGATGTGCTGTGGATGACTCTCAGCTACCTCGTTCCAAGTTAACAGGTTTTGTAGGTGTCCCAAAGTTAATTTATAAGATGCTAAGGGGCTAAGATCAATACTGTGGGACTTGTGAGGATCAAAGGGTGCAATGAGTGTCACATTTGCAGAGCCATCTGTGACTTTCAGTGGAATTGTAAGTTTCTTTTCAAAGGGAGGACAGATTTGTGAATCAGCAGCACAGCAGGGTCAACACCCACATTCTCATATCGCCCTCTTTCTCCATTCTGCTGGTTTTATCCACCACTCATGCTAGAACTATGATCTGATTAAATGCAGGTCATTGAGCCTGCTGTGTCCAGCAGTGGAAACTTTGTGCCTAAAGTTCATTTGTTAAACTAAAAATAGAAAAGTTATCGATCAAGCATCTTACAGGTCTCTTGTAAATGAGTCTGAGGCTCAATGAGACTAACCTGTTTAAATAAAGGTTGAATGAATGAAGCAGACATGAACAGAACGGCAGAGGGGAGATATACATTAGGACATTTTCTCCATGGTAGGCTGGTGGTATTTTGTGTTGTGTCTTTATCTACACTATCACACAGCTGTGTATCTGTTCATTTTTTATTTTACAGTTAAAGTTAAACATGCTCCTGTTTCAGGAGGGAAAAAGCTTCTGATTCAATGATTAAATTAGCAAATAAGACAACCTTGTGAGGGAGTGAGAGAATGAGGACAGCAAAGTTGTGCACAGGAATTAAAAAAATTATTAGACAATATTCAAAGTGTAAAAATTGTGCAGCTGGCGATTCAGAAATTGGAACATAAACTTAAAAATTGATTAAAAACTTATTTGTTATTCTACTGATTTATGCAGTCCAAGAACAAATATGACACAAACATGTCTCATCTCCCCGCAACAGAATGGATCCAGCAGTACAGCAGGTCCTTCATCCACACCGAAGAACTCCAACAAACGGTCGACTCTTTTATGCAGGACTACGACAAGCGTAAAGAAGAGGTGAGGATGTTTCTGCCTCTTTGAGCCACGCACCCATCAACGTTCACACAACTTCCACCTGGGGTTGTTTTGTCTCCAGGAGGCAGAGCGGGAGAAGCAGGAGGCTGAGAAACAACAGGAGGACGAGGAGGGCTGGATAAAAGTTACCAGGGGGCACAAAGGAGCGAAGGCCCGCCCCCACAGCGAGGCAGCCAATCAGAGAGTTCTGCAGAGGGAGAAGAATAAGAAGATGAGGAAGGAGCTTCTGAACTTCTACTCCTGGCAGCACAAGAAAACGCAGAAAGAACGTAAGTTGTATTTTAGTGCTTGTCTGAGAGCATGTTGATGTCAAATAAGACTTGAACCCGAGGATGTTTTTATTTTTACAGATATTGCTGAACTGAGGAAGAAGTTTGAAGAGGACAAACAGAGAATAGCTCTAATGAGAGCTCAAAGAAAGTTCAGACCTTACTGAATCAACTTTTTTTTTTTTTTTTTGCTTTTCAGTTTCATTTTTCCCCTCAAGCTTTTTTGTAAATAAACCATTAAAGTGACTGAAGTGTTTTCAGGTATATTCAGATAATGTCAGCATGGGACTGATTTCCAAAATCTATAAACTGTTTAGTTTTTACAAAAAAGTTTTTCTTTGTCAGGAAAGTGTTAGGTCATACTACGTAAACTACAAGTCTCAAAATAACAGAACTCTGGTTTTAAAGTGATAAGATGAGGTCTAGTTAAAAAGCTCTGCAGCGGCCGGGCTCCGGGGGTGGATTGCCCTGATTTCCTTAAGGCTCTGGATGTTGTGGGGCTGTCTTGGTTAAAACGCCTTTGCAGCATCGCATAAACATCTGGGGCAG